GACGTTAGCCTGCCTTCCTGTGGTCCTCACTGAGTGACAGTGGACGTCAGCCTGCACACAGGTGTGTAAATAAAGGCGTGGAAGAATCAATGCTGCCCCGTCCATCCAGTCAAGTCTACCTACACACAGACCAGCGGCTTCTACTGCAGCCTAACAACTGTTTTTACTTTATAAAACGTCTGGTTCTCCTAAATCAGCACTCAAATACCTAAGGTATGGGGAATTAAGTAAACATGATGGAAAAACTATACTTAAATCATCTCTGCAAGACTCTAAAGCAGTGGTTCTGAGCCTTCTAACTGTAATGTTGCTGCTGTTATGAATAGTAATATAAATATTTGATATGTAGGATGTCTGATATGTGACTATGAAGGTCATGACCCCCAGGCTGAGAAGCACTCCTCTATGGGGTGATTAAAAATGGATTTATCCTCCAAGCTTTCACAAAATAAAGACACTGGTACAGAAAGTGAAACCAAGACCAACATCAACCAGCTCTTCTCAGGGAATGAAGAAAGTGATCTCCTTTGAAAGGCAGCTCTTGTTTTTCTAGTTTTAGAAATTTTACTGTTTTCAAATGGTTGAAATTAACAAAAATCTAAACTCTGAATAAATGCTTGATAACAATATGGAATAACTTCTTTTTAGCTATGGAAAGCCAGAAAATAGAAATAGTACCAAATTTTTTTAATTAAAACAAATCTTAGTTACATGTATATGTGTGTATCTCTGAGTGGGTATGTGACTGTGAATGCCAGAGCCCATGGGGATGCTGGACATCCTTGGAGCTGGAGCTATGGACAACTGAGAACCCTGCTGGGGGTGCCAGTAACTGAATTCAGGTCCTCCACAAGAGCAGTGCGCATTCTTAACTGCTGAGCCATCTCTCCAGCCCTGCCTCCCCCATAATATTACCTGCTTTTATGAGAAATTATGTTATGAAAGATAAAGACTTACTTTCCTAATTTTTATTTTAATTATTTTGGATAATCTTAAATTTTAATTTTATAGCCACAAAAACAATTAGAAGTTGAAGAGATGAAGGAAGAAAGTCCCCAGACACTTGTGTTAGATATAGACAAACTGGTACCAAGTATTTGCTAAAGCCAAGCCTTATAAAAAATAGCATAGTCCTATTTTGTGTGTGTGTGTGTGTGTGTATGGCAGGGTTTCTCTGTTCAGCCTTGGCTGTCCTGGGCTCACTTTGTACACCAGACTGGCCTGTTGCTCACAGATCCGCCTACCTCTGCCTCCTTGAGTGCTGGGATCACAGACACGTGTCACCATGCCCAGCTCATAGTCCTATTCTTTAATTTATTCTTTATTTATTTTTGTGGTAATGAGGTTTAATCTAGAGCTTCAGGCATGCTAGACAAGTGTTCTTCCACTGAGCTACATTCTCTGCTACTCAATTTATTATTTAGAAATTTACTTGAAGGGGACTACAACTGAGATACAAAGTAAATAAACTGTAATTAATATAAAAAATTAAAATTAAAAGAAAAAAATTAGTTCAAAGCAAAAACAGGAAATTTACTTGAAAAATATTTCTCAATTTTTTATGAACTTGAACACACAATTTAAATAATAGTTTGTAACATAATATATAATTTAGCATGTTTGTACACCAACTTGCACTGATTTTAAAAATATTCTTTCAAAAATATATTTATTTTCAATTATAAATTATTTTGATTCTTCATTTTTAAAGAAACTATTAAAAATACATTACTGAGTCAGTGTGTAAAATAATCCTTGGAAGTGCCATCTAAACTTACCTTATCTTCATACATCCTCTTGGCTTCCCTCAGTTCAGAACGCAGCTGAGAGACAGTAGACTCCAAGTCACTGAGCTGGCGCATGTACATGGAGTTCTGGTTCCTTGCTTGTTCTCTAAGGAGGGATGAGAGGGTATAAAAGCAAACAGCAAACTAAGAATACTCTCGATACCTCAAGGGGCCCTCACATCTCTTAAATACTACCAGGAACTATCTTATATTGAGTCATTAGAGCAACTGTCTTTATGCAAACTTGCTTCTTCAAAGTTTCAGCTCAGGGTTGTGGACAAAATTCCGAGATACCAGGTATGTGTGTGTACTATATGTAAAATTCTGTTCAATTCCTAGCACCCAAAACAGTTTTAGATTTGAAAAAATTTACTTGACAAAGCTGGATGGACAAACATATACACATACACATGGGTTCATTACACTATTCTCTACTCCTGCATATTATTAAAACATAACAGCACCGGGGGACATAGAGATGGCTCAGTAATTACGAGTATTTGTTAAGCAATCACAGAGCCAAGATCCTAGCACCTATGTAACACGTTGAACATTCTGAAAAACTACAGCTCCAAGGAATCTGATGCCCTTTTCTGGTCCCCATGCCACTGGTGCTTCCATCTGCACAAACAGGTATACATACACTCAAACACAATAAACCTTTAAAAACAAAGTCTAGGCATAGTGTTATGCATCAGTTCAAATTCTAAAATTTCACATGCATATATATTTTATGTATATACTTGAACATATATGCCTATGCAAAACTGTTCATATACGCACACATAATTATATAGAGACATAAATGTATTTATTTATATATAAATAGACAAAATTCCCAGGAGCCTGAATACTTGCAATAATACCTTCTATGTGGTAACACACCCAAGAAATATTACTGTTGCCTTTTTGTTCAAGTGTTGGTAAAGTTTTATCACTTTTACATGATACAATTCCTAAGCAATTTCAAAAACTTACTGGGACAGCATGTTAGTCAGAATAATAGTTTTGAATTATTATTTTACATGTATGAGTTTTGCCAGGAAGTATGTATGTGCACTATGCACATGCCTTGTACCCACAATGGTGAGAAAAATGGCGTTGGATTCCTGGAATTTGTACAGGGCAAAAACTCCTTGCATACACAGATAAGCTCTGAAGGAGCCAGGAAAAGTTAAACATGCAGGCTTGTCAAGTCAGAGAAAGAAGATGTTCATCTGTTCTTCTGGAATGCTGGGAAAGAACATACTTTACACCCTGGTGAGCCAGGCTCCACACATAGCCCTCAGAATCTATGTTTTGCTTATTTTAGATGCTTTTCTCTTATATCTTGAGCATTGTTTCTAGGTCATAAAACTCATCCTTATGAGTGATGTCACTTGTATTTTACAGCCTAAGAGACTTCTTTGCCAATACTGACACCCACGGGAGTTATGTTTACCTCATCAAGCTCCCTAGACCCTAAATCTTGGGTACACTATCTGAGTCAACAGTACCCATCTTTGTTTAAAAAGCCAGATGTACTCTGTAAAGAATTTCAATATAGCAGGGCATGGTGGCACATGCCTTTAATCCCAGCACTCGGGAAGGCAGAGGCAAGTGGATTGCTGTGAGCTCAAAGCCAGCCTCATCTATAAAATGAGTCCAGGACAGCCAAGGCTACACAGAAAAACCCTGTCTCGAAAAAAAAAAGGGGGGGGGGAAGAGCTTCAATGTAAACACATCTTAAGCTCTGCTATACTCATGAGACTGAATTAATCATTATCAGAAAACTTTTTTCCAAAATTGTGCTGTGCTTAAATATGGCTAAAATAAACCACCTGGTATCAGACTTTAGAAGTTTGGCCCAGCACTGGCTACATACATTAGGCTGAACCAAGTTTCCTTCTTCCCTCACCTGGGTCATTTCCCTGACAGCCATAAAGCCTACAGGGACGCCCCTCCCCTTGCAGGAACTAGAGTAGATAACAGTAATGAGCTGCCAGGTGGGTGCTGGGACTTCAACCCAGGTCCTCTCCAACATCAACAAATGCTCTTAACTGCTGAGGTAACTCTCCAGCCTAAGATACTAGTTTTTAAGTGACAATAAATGACATCAATTTCAAACTGTTAGTACACACATACTGAATGATTTCCAGTTGACTCTGGATACTGTTGGCTTGGCTTCGAGCACTGCTGGCTTTCTCCGTAAGCCCTGTTATTTCAACTTCGTGTTCACTTATTAACTGCTCGATCCTACAGAAAGAATGTGATGACTTAGATGAGAGTCTTCCCTTTGACTTAGCTCAAAAGACAATGTTTTGCAGCACCTTCAAACTTAATATTTTGTTTCAGTTTTATACGTGCTACTCTTTCATCTATCTGTTTGCTTATTTGGTACAGACTTTAATTATGTTGTCCTGGCTGGCCTTGAATTTATAGGCAATTTTCCTGCTTCTGCCTCCTAAGTGCTTAGATTACAGACAAGAGCTACCATCCCTGGTTTTGTAAATGCTACTCCACCCTTTTTAAAAAATATTTATTTACATAGTATTTATACAGTCTGCCTGCATGTGTGCCTGTAAGCCAGAAAGTGGGCACCAGATCACAGTATAGATGGTTGTGAGCCACTATGTGGTTGCTGGGAATTGAACTCGGGACCTTTGGAAGAACAGCCAGTGCTCTTAACCTCTGAGCCATCTCTCCAGCCCCTACCCCCGCTCCTTTTTAACTATTTCTTTTTTTCGACAGGGTCTCTCTTATTATGTAGCTGTTTGTCCTGGAACTTGCTGTGTAGACCAGACTACCCTCAAAATCACAGAGAGCCACCTGCCTCTCTCTGGAGTGCTGGGACTAAAGGCATGCACCACCATGCTGAGTGACAACTCTAGAATCATTTTCCTAAAACAAACTAGGTTTCCAGAATTCCGAACCTGAGTCTCAGTGGCAATAAACTATGAGAGCTGAGCAAAGCATCGTGCCTGAGAAGGTGAAGCAGGAAGATCATTGGAATACAGGAATTCAAGGCCAACCTGACAGATCATTCTTAGGTCAACTCACGCTCTTCTCCCTAGTCCTTGACCAGTCTTTGATTGGTCTTTCATCCAGGCCAACCACATCAAGAACAGTCTCATTTTTGCTATCTGATCAAACATTGACAACTGATCAAGTAGCTTATCCTTGAGCTTAAAAATCTGTATCCATGGCCTACCTTTAGTCAACTCTTCAACCCTTATGTGAGTAATGTTTCATTCACTAATCACCTGGCCTTTTTCCACCTGTCCTGATTGTGCTGGGAGTTGAGCTTATTGTCTTCCCTGTAGCAAACCTTAACAGTGCTATAGTCTTGAGTAAAGCCTTCCTTACATCTTCAAAAGGTGTCAGGAAAAGATTAACCTAATTTGGCTACAGGTCAAAAAGGAATACAGTTTCACGGCAGTCTTTTTTCATGCCTCAGACAGACACCTACCGATCTTGATGTTGTTGAAGTAACAGTTCTATTTTGTTCTGTGACTCAGATTTCAGTGTTTCAAGCTGATCCTCTACCTGGTTTTAAAATAGAGATACCAATTTGGGTGTTGGTAATCCTAAAGCTTAGAAAATGTAGAGTTTCTATGAAAGGAGTGCTTTAGAGATCTATAAATAGAAACAACACTAAAAGAACCTCTACACCCGTACTTTATACACTTGTGCTCTGGCTACGCTTACATCAAGCTGTACAGGTAGAATAGCTAGTTTCCTGTCAGAAGAGAGCACTGTGCATCATCTCAGAGAAGAAAAAATGACAACTTGGCTTATTTCTAAGGACTTTACAAACTATCTCTCAAGGCATTGAATATAAAGTAGTGTTCTCACCACTTACTGGAAATATCCTCCCTTTAAGATAAGAGATTTCTGTGTCTAATTCTCTTAGGATTTTACTAATAGCTGAGCCCAGGCTGCGGAAGTGCATGGTAGATATGCTGTCGTGTTCACATATTTTCTTGCCTGAGGCTTCTTCAAAGTCAACTAAGATTGATCGGATTTCTTGAAGCACGCCTTCATGACTAAGCATCATTTTTCGTAGCTGCTCTATCTGGCTGCTGCTCTCTTTCAGCATGCCCTCCTTAAGGCTCTTGGCAGCTTCGAGCTCATGGACTGTATTTTGAAGCTGATTTCTTAAATCCTCCTGAGACTGACTCTCCCTTCGTCTATGAAACAAATGAAAGAAAAGAAGTAACATTGATAAAACTCATTTTCACTCAATTTTACTACACTGAGGAAAAAAAAAAATATTTTTGATACAGAATTTTCCTATAAATCCCAGGCTGGTCTTGAACTCAAAGCAATCTTCCTATCTCAGCCACCGGAATGCTGAGGCTATGAGTAGGTAGGACTGTACCAGTGTAAAGAATAAAACCATAGAACAGGTTCTGGGCTAGGAAGTATCTCACTGGTGAACATCTGCCCACCACACACAGACCCTGGGTTCAGGCTCTGGCGCTGCTACTGGAGGAGGAGGAAGAAGAATCCAGGTAACAAATCCCAACCTGATGTCAGCCATGGCATCTCTCTCCATTTGCATTTCTTGAAGTTTTGTTTGCAAATCAATGACTGACTGTCTTAAGTAGAACTTTTGTTTCTCATGTAATTCATTGCTCTGAAAGAAAACACGCAAATTAATATATATATATATATATATATATATATATAATATATATATATATAACACCATCAAAATATAGATCCAGTAGACAATAATTTTCCAAGGATTATATTAGTAGCTCAGTGTTATATATATAACACCCTCCACCAACACACACACACACACACACACACACACAGTGAATAATTTCTCACCTAGGTAAGTAGAAGACATCAACAAGTTTCCCTGGCTTGGTTTTTGTTTGTTTGTTTCCCTATTTCCTGAAACAAATCTGCCTTCCAGCTCAAAGCAAAATGGGAAAATGTTTTGTCCCTTAAAACTAGAAGACTGGTTGAAATTATGTATAAAGAAACTTTATACATAAACCTTATCCTCAACCTACTTCAATTCTTGGCAACGGCCACTGCCATCTAAAACTTTAAAGGTGGGGCTGGAGAGGTTAAGAGCACTAGCTACTCTTGCAGAGGACCAGGGTTTGATTCCCAGCACGCACATAACAGCTGACAAACATCTATAACTCCAGTTCCAGGGATTCTGATGCCCTCTTTTGGAGTCTGTGAGTATTGCATATACATACACGCAGGGAAAACATTTATCATATAAAATAAAAATAAATACATTTTTTAATATAAAAAGAAAACTATGTGGTGGTACATGCCTTTAATTTGGCACTCAGGAAGGCAGAAGCAGAAGGGTCTCTGTGGGTTCGAGGTCAGCCTGGTCTACAGAGTGAGCTCCAGGACAGCCAAGGCTACACAGAGAAACCCTGTCCTGAGATTTCCAAAGCTAGGCACTAAAGCATCTCCCAGATAACAGCTGGTGACCAGTGTATGATGACTAGCTTTTTATTACCTCATCTGTGAGTCTGAACAGACAACAAAAACCACTGAAAATGAGAAGATTCTAAAATATAAAGACTAAAATTAAGCAAACAGAAAAGACAAAGAAAGATCTAGAGGAAACAAAGGTAATGTAGGGATATGTGCTTGCAGAGATTCCATTGCCATACACAAAGATTATAAAGAATAAGATGGGAAGGCTGGTGACAGTGGCACTACCTAAATTACCAAAGCTTAAGGGGCGAAGGAAGGGGGAGTCCAAGTTTACAGACAGCCTAAACTGTTTTAGGAAGAAGAATAAAGAAGGGGGGGTTGATAAAGGGCAAGGAGAAGAAGGGGGAAAGCAGCAGCAGCTAGCAGGAGAGTCCTTGCCTCATGCGCATGAGGGCCTCAGCTGATGTCTAGCTCTACACTGTCAGAGGGCCAGAGACAGTGCTGTGTCAAACGCTGCAGAGTCGAGTTAGGAGACGGGCATCGAGTATCAAGTGGCTTGAGCATCACCATTTATTTGTCCCACCTGTAGCATACCTCCTACTTGCTTCGAATATCTCAAACACAATACAAGGCGGACCATGTCTCTCCCATCTTTATCTGTCTGGTACCTAGCACATTTCTGTTACATAGGAATACAATACCAGCACTGTTTGATAAATATTAGAGGCGCCCAAACAGTGCTGCTATTACTGATTTTACTGAGAAACAGCCAAGGTGACATTCTCTACCAGGAGGTCATAGGAAAGAAGTTAGACATAGAAAATAAATTAAGGCTCTCTCTCCTTCTCTCCGCCCTCTCCCCCTCTCTGGGAGGACAACTCCTTGGCATTCATTTTCTCCTGTGGGATGCAGGGATTGAAGTCAAACTGTCAGGCTTGTGCATTAGCAGCTCCATCCACTGAGCCGCCTTGCCAGCTCAATCACTGTTTCTTTTCTCTACTAGTATGCCTGTGCTTCCTGTCTTACATGTCTTCCTGGTATATTTATCACTAGGTCTCACCACTACTAGTTTACTAGCCAGCTAGCTCACCTCCAAACTCCTTTGAGAGCCCTGGCTTATTAATTTTTATACACCATGTGTAACACAATGGCACATAGTTTTTCACATTTAATAAAACCCTAGGTTCACCTCCTAAAGTCTTCACCTAGCCTGATGAGGCAGTAACTTGCTGATGGACACAGGGCATGCGAGCAATGAGAGCAGAGAGCACCCGCAGTGCTAGCGAGAGGAAGGGCTTCAGAGAAGGGAATGCCTGAGCTGAGCCCTGATAGACAGAGTCTTCCCGCAGTCAAGTAGAAAGGCGTGGAAATCTTGATTAACAAGGTCCACCAGAAGGAGCAAGTGGTACGGTGCTGCTGGAACAGAGGGTACATACAGAGACCAGGTCCTGAACAAAGGCAGCATGAAGCCTGTGTATGGTGGTAAGAAGTCGGGCTTTGAGAAAGAAGACTAGATCTCTGCATGAAGTACACGTGAAGTTTTTAGCTCACCCTTCTAAATTCTCTTTAACCTTTATGCATGTGCATTTACGTAAAATCCTACTTTCTACCATTGTTTGCAAAGGGAAGCCAGGTATCATAAAAGCAGGTGGGCAGGCCTAAACGAATTAATAGCAGATGAATGTCATCAATTGTAACACTTTGAGGCATTCATATTTTACTAAAGTTATATCATGAAACCAAGACATTATAATTACCAGAAAGAATATGACATGTAAACTTCTTATTAGCCCAACAGAAAGGAGAGATCAAATTAACAGGTTTAGCTGATAGACCCATGACTAATGTTTTCTTTCAGGGGGTTGAGTTTTATTTCAAGGCAACATGCCTCCTTGGCCTAATGATGCCAGGTGTTAGAAAAAAAAAATGCAACTTACTTCATTTAGTCTTCTCTGCAAATCTTTAACTTGTTGTGAATATTCTTCTAAAACACGTTCAATATGCTCTTTTCCAGGGTAAGGGATGACCTTTCTATGAGAATCAAGTTCCACTTCATATTTAGGGAAAAAAGGAACTTGTGTCAAAGTTCCAGTTGCGTTTTCAATTACTGTACTTCGGATAGATGACATTAAAAATGGGCTTGAAGAACCTAAACATTAGAGAATTCATTAATTATTCATAAAACAACTTTGTGGCAAACATTACTTCAGGGGGTTCTTTTATCAGACCGTGAAGGAGCACACACAAGGTCTCATGGGAAAAACAATTAAGTACAGATAAGAGCACTGCACTAGGAGACAAGCACCAGATACAAAGGAGGAACAGGCTAGGGAAGAGAGAACATGCGCCCCTGGAACTGAATAGCTCTGAGGCATGTTTGAGTGATACCCGGTCTAGAGAACAGGAAGGACAAGGGACATTCAAGAGAGAAAGCACACTGAAGTGGCTGGAGACATCTGGGATGTTCTGGGCGGGAGAAAAGCTGCTGCCATTCAAGGATGGAAACACAGATTCTGAGGAGCCTGTAGTCACGCTAAGGGGTTTGGATCTCACCTAGTATGGTATAATTTTAAAACTGGGAAGAGCTCTGCTCATGGGAAATATTTCTCAATGGCATCAGGATCCTAAGGTAGAATCCATGACTATAAGTGGCAGACTAGTGAGAAAGCCACAGCAAAAATGTTCCAAAAGTAGAGATATTAGCTAGACTGATAAGTATTTGGGTTTCTGTGAGAATGAAAACAATGAAGAGGAAAGGGCACTGGCAAGTGATCGACTGACAGGCAGACAGAGAGTGGTAATTTAGGAGTGATAGCAGAATCGACGACAGCCCTTATGAAACTGTAGTATATCAGGATCACTTGGGAAACTTAAATTAAAAAAAATACAGTGTGTCTAAGCCCCAGTCTGGACCTACTGAATCAAAATCTAAGACATTTCAATGTATAGACCTGAAACGGCTAGGGTTTGGTGGCACTGACAGGGATCAGGGTTGAAAGCCACTTGCATTAGGCAGGAAAATAGAAGCTCCATAGTACTAATATGGGACAGGGCTGGGGTAAGAGACTGACTACAGAACTCCAGCACTTGTTGATGAGATGTGTGCACAGGGATAGGATGGGGCTGGAAGGATGGCTCAGCAGTTAAGAGCACTTGTTGCTCTTCCAGAGGACCCAGGTTTGTTCCCCAGGACACAAATCATGGCTCAAAGCCATCTGTAACTCTTGATCCAGGGGATCAGATGCCCTCTTCTGACTTCAGAGGGCACCAGGCACACACATGGTACACAACATACCTGCAGGCAAAAACACTCATACACGTAGAGTAAAAAGAGCCAAAACTTTTCTTAGAAAAATAAGTCAAAACTTTAGTGGTCAGGAAGTTGATGGGCCACCATGAGGCCAGCCAGTTATTATTAAGAATGATGCTACACATGAGGAGGAGAGACAATCTGACAGGAGCTGAGTTGGACTAAGAAATGCTGGAGGAAGGGATGGTATTAGGGAGACATATTTTAATATGCTGAGGTTGAAGTACTTCAGCACAGAAACAGTTTTTAGATTAAATAAAGATAATGAAAACAAGCTGAAAAAACAGATACTCTCAGTTAAGCTCTAACTCAAAACTAGAGTTACAAACAGCACAGCAGACATTCACGACTCAGTTCTGTAAGACAAAGCACACTAAAAACTAGGAGCCGAGGTGGGTGTTAAGAAGACTGTATTTCTAACCCCCATTTTGTTTTAGAAAAGCATACCTCCATTGGTTGTGATGCTGCTTGGTAAAAGATCGTCACTACTTGATTTATCAGCCTTTGATTCCATATTATCTACCTCTGCCTCTTCTTAGAGATCTTGAAACACGAGTGCTTCCCGGTTTGGATTGTTCAGTTCTTATCTATGAAAGATAAGGTATTCAACCTTTATTACAGCCTTGTTTGTTGGGGTGACTTTCCTCCACACTGTGTGAAGGTGTGTCTCTGTATTTTCAACTGTTAATTCTGTACCAGCAGAGAGCTAAGGGATGGCAGAATTTTAGTACTGTCATTTCTACAGCCCACAATACTTACTGAAAAAGCCCATAGGAGAATCAAACCGACTTTGTTAACACCTTTGATGTTTTCCTCTAGAAAAATAGCTTATGTATACAAAAATACCTTACTGCTATGTAAAACTAATGTGTAGATCAAATTTTATTGTAAAGCTTGATTTTAAGACCAAAGGAGGCTTTGTTACTTTTGTCTGGACAGGGTCAAACAGGCAAAACAAGGTATCCTTGTTGGCTTGGAACTCACTATGTACACCAGGCTGGCCTTGAATCACAGAGATCCACCTCATTCTGCCTCATGAGTGCTGGGATTAAAGGTATGGGCCACCACACTCAGCCCCCAAAGGGTTATTAAAGATAAGCTTAAATAAAGTTTAATACTTTAAGCCAATTGTGGTGGCAAATGCCTTTGATCTCAGCATTTGGGAGGCAGAGGCAGTCAGATCTCCGAGTTCAAGGACAGCCTGTTCTACAAAGTGAGTTCTAGGATAGCCAGAGCTATACAGAGAGACCCTGTCTTGAAAAACAAAGCAAAATAATGATAACAACAATAATAATAATGATGATGACTTAATTCTTTAGTTATGATGATGACTAGTGCTCTGGTTGGGAGCACTTTCAATCTCTTATAAAATTATGTTGCTAAAGAACAGGACTTATCTCCCTAACAAAGATCTCAAATCAGCAAATTAGATGTCATTAATAAGAGCTGAAAAATGTATTTGATGTTAAATAATGCTTATAGTTGTATATTTGATCAAGAGAGTGTTTCTAAGTTTGGAAAATAAGAATGGTGGCCTAATCCCAAATTTCTCCTTAATTTTACTCAAACAAGCATAAAATCAAGATGGAAAACAAGCAAAACTATGTGTACTCCACATTATCACTGCCCTAGGGAAAGAACCCTTCAAATATCTAGATAGAGAAATTCTCCCTCCCTAGGCAGCTCCCACCATTCTGCTGGGAGCCATTGCTATGGAGAAATGGGAGAAGCAAACACTAGAAAGATTCAAAAGGAACAGAGGTGAGCCACAAACTCAGAGGGCAGACGAATGTATTCCTAGAGAGTGACACAACAGAAGTAAAAGCACTGAGCCCCATTAGCCTGCAGTATGGGCTAGCAGCCTCAGAGAAACAACGTGAGGAGATTATATTTCAAAGGAGGTGGCTTTCCCTGGATACAATATGCTAAATGAACAGGATAGGAGAGGGAAAATTAAGGACCCAGTAGGAACAAAACAGAGGTAAGACACTTAGCCTTCCTTCTACACCTCCCACCTCTATCCCAACCATTCCCATAAAGCCACACAGGAAGAGGGTGCTGCAGCCCAGAAGCCCTGCTCTGAAATGAACAGAATGAACAGTAATGAAGTCTGCATAATACAAAAACAAACCAAAACCAAAACAAAAACAAAAAAACCAGCAAAGCCCCTGCAATCCAGTTTGCACTATTTTAGAATGACCATATTCCTCACTTTGAACAGAGATTCTGTGTTCCTCTACTTTGTGACACAGTAGCACTGAAATGCTCTGTTTTTAGGCACAAGTTTGTAAGATTGTTAAGAATTTCTATAATTAAAGGACTTTTCTCAGGAAATCATAATACTATTGAGCTCTGCCCTTGGATAATTTGTGGATCATAACAATATGAACTTACAAGTCTTATTTTCCTTAGAAATGTGTAGTTTGATTCCCTTTATTACTTACTTATTCTTGTGTCACTGGGGAGCAAACACAGAGCATGGCATGCTCCCCAGAACGGCAAGTGTCCATTTCAAGTCCAAGGGAAATACAGCAGTGGGATCTTGGCTTGTTCTGCTGTGCCTGAGGTCTGCTACCAACACTTCTACACCATTTAAAACCATGCATATGTTTACACTGAAAAGAGCCTTAAAACTCTGACAATGCGGTCATGACTGGAACGGTGCAGAAAGGGCCTTTGCCATCGCACCGCACATACACAGGGCTTTTGTAGCATTAGTGCAGCTGAGCTGAAGCACTTGGCGCTATCTCCTGAGTGCTTACTCCTCTTCCTTGAACTCCAAAAGGGGGTATGCAGCTCCTTCCTTTCCAAAGTTTCCATCTTGATTTCTTTCCTTAGAACTCTCATTAAGGTGGACCTGACTATGATAGAATAGCTCTGTGGCAAGGTGATTTACAGTTTAAGTCCTATTTTGGTTGGTTATGTCACTTAAATATAAGTCTATTCAGTAGTGGCTCACCCTCAATGATAAATCATTCTATCTTCCATAGAAACTTGAGACTGAGGGTTTCATGGGGTTGGTATATGCGCCCCTAAAACCACCTTGAACCTATAAGGAGGCTAATATTGAACAGCACTTACTGCCAGAATGCCTAATTAATTAAGAACTGCTTATTAACTTCACATTGATCTGCATTATATTCTTAATCACTCTTTTTCTATAGATGTTGTCATCCAGGCTCAAGCCCTAGATCTGTAAAGCATGACCTCTGTAATCTTGAGAACAGCATTTGGCACCTCCAAGATTATGATATGGAGGTGGTATGAACACTTTGTAAGCGCAAGGGTTAGCTAAAAGAACTCATGCATAAGCCCTCCTATACAGGACCTGCCTCAATACTCGCATACAATACTACCTAATAGGGTAGACACAACATGAATTAAGATGTATCTTTCTAATTTGAGCAACTTACTTCCCCATAATAAGTAGTTTTATCTTTCTATTCATTTAGAAAGAAGATACAAGCTTTCTATAAGTCCATGAACATAGAAGAAAGCACAGTTGACCTGTTCAACTAAATGTAAAGACAGGGCTATCACAATGTATACAGGAATTGGCTATTTAGATTACTCGTCATCAGTACACACCAGCTAGCAGAAAGCAAATCTGGAATAGTACATAACCTAGAACAAGGAAGCCTCGTTCTGTTGTTGCATAACTGTTAGAGAGCACATATAACTTCTACCAGCTCTGAGCTTCAACTTCCACCTATACCAAATGAGATGATCACTGAGCTTTTTAAAGTTTTTCTACCCTGCAGAAGCTGGGAAGTGTTCTGAGCCCTAGCTACCAAAAGCTTTTCTCAAGTCCATGAGACACAGCTATAAAAACAGAGCTCCACTGACCAGTCTGAGAACCGCAGATACAAAGCTCGCGCTGCTTTAGCTTTAGGTATCCCAGGTTAGCAGGCATTAAGTTCAAGGCTTCACAGTTTCTAAGGTAAATTGCATACAGACACAAGAAACTGAGACAGCAACTGTGTATGAGCAGAACTGTTAACAATAGTTAGAAAAGGATACCTTAATTTCTGGATATTCTTATTTTCAGTTACTTCTATTAATACCTGAAAAATGAAATTTGCTTATTAATATATTTCGTTAACTAAAATTTAAAAGTTTAATTTATACATTTTTATTATTTACGGTTTTGAAATATTTATATATCACAAGAAAAGTTTTTTTTTTTTATTATTACCTGTGTGTTTGTGGTAGGAGGGACATATATGTACTACGACATATGTGTGGAAGTCAGGGGACAACTTTTGGAGTCAGCTCCCTGCTGCTTTTATGTGAGTAGTGGGACTTCTGCCAACCCGAATCCCAAGTGTACATGTGATGGCCTTCTCTGCTGTGCTCAAGCTAAGGAGCTTGCTGAGATGACCCTCAGCTGGGCAACGTGCCAGCATCCCATGACGTCCCACAGAAAACACACAGAAGACATTTCTCATGGCTGATTTTAGTTAAGGGTAAATGCAAAAGAGGGTAGATGGTCTTCCAGCAAGTCGTTTCAGATAAATTGTAATACAGTGTGCTTATCATCTCTACATATATCTTTACCTATATGTTTGCAATTACATTAAATCTATGTCAGCCTAAGTTTGCTTTCATCTCCTCACTATACCTGCTTTTTAGTGTTCTTAGCTATCGATGCTCTGAACTTCACTTTCTGCATTAGAAACGTTAGTATCTTCAGCTGTTCTTCATTTACCTAGCCTAATGCATACAACTGATCAGTGTATTCTGTGGAGTCTATATCTCTGTTACACAGTAGAGCTCAATAAGACGTCTTAGATGTGGTTAGTCACTGGGCAAGAATCCTTGAATGAGCAATCTAACTTTAGTTCTATTGATTTTGTTGTTGTTAATGCACTCATGAACTCTCGCCAGACCCACTATAAAATATCTTGAAAGGTATTTCTTGTTTCCCTTAAAAGCAATGTCATGGTTCCAACCTTGCTCTAAGACTAGGGGGCAAAGCTCTAGAACTTGCTGAAAATTACTGGGCTGAACACTTAAAATAGGTAAAGTATGTAACATGTAAATTATATCTCAAAAGGCTGAAGAGTGGGAATGGGAAATAGCTGCTTGGGGCCCAGAAGTGGGTCAGCTAAACCTGAACAGTACTCTTTCCAGAACCCCTGGAACAACAAACCGGCTCCATCCCTCTTGCCTTAGAGAGACTACTCTCAACCAGGCTGCTATATTTCTCCCATGCAAGCACTTTGACCTTGGACACCCAGGAGTCTCCAACTCTTCTTTGATACCTGATAGAAATCTAATAATGCCTAAGAAGTATGCTTATGCTAATTTTTAACATTTCAATTTTTTACATTTTGATAATTTCGTATGTGAGTACTTTAATCCTCCCTCCCCCTCCTCCAACTTTCCCCATGTTCCCAGCTCCTCTCAAATTCATGACCTCTTCGTTAAATATTATACACACACACTCTCTCACACACGCACACTTTCTCTCTCATATACATACACATATAAACACAGCCTGCTGAGTACATTCGGTGTTGCTCGGATGTGTACGTGTTTAGGGCTTGGAAAACCTGCCAGGGCCTTCTCCCTGGACAAGACTGATTCTGCCTCTCTAAAGCCATCAGTTGCTTGCAGCTCTTCATCTAGGGCCTTGAGAGATTTCATGTCAACTGGTGTTCTCATTCATTCTGAAGGTCTTGTTTAGGCAACCATATGTTTGGGATTTAATGGATACAGCCTGTCATTGGATACATTGTGTCATAGAAGACACAATCTTGTAGCACGTATCCTGATCCTCTGGCTATTACAATCTTTCCACCTCCTCTTTATGAATATTCTGAGCCTTAGATGTAGGGGTTGTACTACGGATTTATCAAGGATGCCTCAGTCAGTTGTTTTCTGCATTTTAACCATGTGTGGCCTTTTGGTTCTGTTGTTGGGGTTTTTGTTGTTGTTTTGTGTTTGTTTTCAAGACAGGGTTTCTCTGTGTAGCCTTTGTAAACCAAGCTGGCCTCAAACTCACAAAGATCCACCTGCCTCTGCCTCCCTGAGTGCTGGGATTAAGGCATGCACCACTGTATATGGCATTTGTGGCTTTTGCTAATGGTGTCTGCAGAAAAAGGAAAAAAAATAAAAGCTTTTTTGATGAGGGGTGATAGCTCCGCTCCACTTATGTCAGTATAAGGACAAGCATCTAGAACACAGAAAGTACACTGGCTTAGGAAAGTGGTAGCAGTGTGCTCTTCACTAGGGTCCATGACCTCGCCAGCCGTGGGTAGTTGACTGGGTTTTATGGTAACAGACATGAATTCCCTTGTATTGTCTGGGCCTTAAGTCCGATTAGACAGTGATTGGTTACCCTCAAGGTACAAGAGCCACTACTACACCATTAGGTTATCTTGCCATGCCATCGTGTGGTCCGTCACTTTTTATTTGCTCTCTTTAGCAAAAGTGAACAGTGACATATCAACTGAAAAACAGAAGTCTTAAAAACTGGCTTTAATGGCAGATTACCTCATTATGCACCACCTTTTTCTTAACAGAATTCCCTATTCATTCTCCTAAGATTTATAGAATTCAAGAAAATACACAGTGACCCCATTACTACCCCCACTGCTCCCACAGCTGTAGTTTTCAAGTGTTCATTCATGCGGGGTTCCGCGTGACTTAGGAGCACTGCCTTGTGTATTCGGTGTCCACAGTGGCTGTAATAAATTACCACAAACATAGCAGCTTGGAACAACAGACATCTTTTCTGGAGGCGATTGTTCAGTATCAGTCTCCAAGAGCTCGTAAGCAAGACATGAGCAGGCTCCATTCTCCTAGAACCCATTTCTTATCTGTGTGGATCACCACTATTCCTCGCCTTACAGCCACATCACTCTAGTCTCTGTCTTTGTAGTCTTACCACCTTCCCCATTTCCTTCTGCGTTAGGACAAACATAATTTATGATAATCCTTCCTTTGCCTTTCCGGCTAGAGAGACAGATCCAAACAGTTGAGAGCACTCTTGCTCTTGCAGAGGACCTGGGTTTGTTTTCCAGCACCCACATGATGGTACACAGCCATCAGTAACTACAGTTCCAGGGGATCTGATGTCCTTTCCTGACCTCTGTGAGTATCAGACACTAACATAATATGATAGACATACATATATACAGGCAAAACATTCATACACAAAAATAAACCTAAAAATTAAAAACAAATCTTTGGTTTAAATTCCATACGCAAAGACTTTTTTCCCCCCATAACATTTATAGGCTCCAGGGATCAGGACCTAATTTTTTAGGTGGTCGTTATTCAGCTTTGGAGACAGGTGGTTCAGAAAAAGGTCCTTTTTAATAGATGCTATAGGGTTTTTTGTTTGTGTTTGTTTTTTGACTCAGGGCCTCTCTCCATAACCCTGGCTGGCCTGGTCTCTGTATAGACCTCACAGAGATCTGCCTGTCTCCTGAGTGCTGGAATTAAAGTCGTGTACCACCACGATCAGCTTTAAATTCTAGAGTTTTAGAGTGGCTCGCCCTGATACCGAAGAGAGCCATCCCAAAGAACTACAACAGCAAGCAAAGGCTTTGTACATACAGCAGATCTGCAACTGCTACATTCAGAGGTTAAATAGCACTATTACATGAAAACGGTTTTACATACAACTAAACAGGTGACTGTATTAGAATTTAAAATGCAGGACTGGAAAGACGGCTAAGCCTTAAGAGCACTTGCTGCTCTTGCAGTGGATCTAGTGTTCGGTTCCCAGCACCCACATGGCTGCTCAAAACCTTTTGGAACTCCAGTTCCGGGGGATCCCACAACCCCTCCAGGAAGAGGCAGGCATCAGGCGCGCACAGGGTGCACTTACACACAGGCAGGCGAAACACTGAATCACATACAATAAAAACACATCTTTAAAAACTAACGATTGTGGCACGGAGGTGGGAGTTTCAGATCTCTGCCACAGCTTGCCCACGCTCACGCACAAAAGCAGTCCTGTCTAACTCGGACCTTTTTTCTTATGCGGGAAAAAATAGTTCTCCGTCAGACTCCCTAAGGAACAGGCCCCATCACTTGTCTCCTACATTCCCATGACCTTAAAGCAGCATGACAAGAAACAGGAACATCTAGGACAGCTGGAGTGGGGACTTGTGCCAGTGTTTTGGGGAAAGGATGGATGAGGACTGTTGCTGATGGGGAAAAGGCGGGACCTGAAGTGGATTACCAACCAAGACTCCAGTCACACAGTGTTTAACAGTCTCCTGGGGGATGGACCGGCGACAGTCCGAGGCCCACTCCGGTCTGTCCTCATGTTTTCTCTTCCAGCGGTTCCCGGGAGCCAGGAAAGAACAGCAGTGAGCAGTCCCCGTTGTGCCCACGGAAGTCTGTACCGACCCGAGGTCACGAAGCCCCAGTTTTCCCTCCACTGTCCCCGGAGAACTCTCCCAAACCAGCTGTACAAAGTTACTGAGCCGCTACCACGTGGGAGCACAAGGCCATGGAAGGTTCCAGAAGTACCAGGACTTGATCCGGGTCCTCCGAGGAACGACCCAGACCTGTGCGCACCCGGTCCCCATACCTGCTAACTAACACCTCGTCCTAAGAGACCGGCCGCATGTCCGCGGGGGCCGCGGCCGCACCTGCGCGACCCGGGGACCCGCCGGCTCCCACTGTGCCCCGAGGCCGCCGCGGCCCGCGCAGCTGCCCCTCCGCGGCGCCCGACCCAGCACCGCGCGGGCGGCCTCGCCACCCGCTCCCGCCGCCGCCGGCTGCTGCCCAGCACGAGCTCGGTCAGACGGTTGACGCCGGAGAATCCACCGCGAGGAGAGGCGGGGCGTGAGGAAGTGGGCGGGGCGTGGGAGAGGGCGGGGCTGAGCGAGGGGAGGAGCTGTGGGAAGGGGCGGGCAGAGTACGAGGCCACGCCCCCTGGCTCCGGCGCGCTCCCCCGCCCCTACGCCGTTGCCGAGGCAACCAGGCGGGCCGGACAAGCCACTTTTCTTCTTTTTCCCTACTGCCCCGCAACCCGGCTCCTAGCCTCACTCTCCAGTCATTCTCACAGACGCCACACAAAAATCCTCTCCTATGCCAAACGGTACAAACCCTCCCTGTTAACACACGTGCTGAGGGAGAGGCAGGTTGACACCCTTACTCACCGGTGCAGCTCTTCCCCACTCCCCGCGTGTTCAAGCTAACAGAATAACTTGCATTTTGCAGCCCGCCTGTGCTTAGCCTGTACTTTTATAAGCTGTGCCTCCTTCCGGAGTGTTTTCCCAGGTCCAGACGTGGTGTCGGGGTAGCTGACCCTTCTGCCTCCGGAGAGCTGTTTCCTCCGCCGTGCTTCGGTTACTCTGTCGTTAACTCTAACGTGGAATTTATCAGCTTGAGACTGCACACTCAGACTCCAGCGTGCTGATCAAATTAGCATTCCATTGGAAGGGTTCCAGACAGGCCTGGAGTCTACGGGACACAAACTGTAGGGTTTAGGCTGCCCACAGACTGGGACCCTTCTGCCCTAGACTCTGCTCTGACAGATGTGCACTGGTAGACTCTGTTGTGTTGAATTCTGTTAACTATCAACGTTAAGCAGACTACAACAATAAATACATTAATGTACAAATTGACTGTAAATATCGATAAACAATATTTCATTACAAATTGTAACAGTGTATGAAGTACCATTAAAGACTGTTTTTAGCATACCTTCAGTTTTCCCGTTTACTGCCTTACAGACATCTAGGATTATAGTATCAAGCACATAAACAGCAAATTCAGCCATAAATATCAAGCAGAAAGTTAAATGACTAGCCCCTGTGACTAGACCGAAAACAAATTCCAATTCGGTTTTTTTTTTTAATCTTTTTTATCTCTATCAAAATATAAGTGTGTTCTTACGGCATAAAAATATTTTAATTACCTAATACATGATTTTTTTTTTTTTTATTGGTGTCTCATTTTGTGTTTGTACCCTGAATAGAGTTTTTTGTTGTTGCTCTCTTTTTGAAATTTTGAAAGATAAGTTCCTGGTTGCCTCCACCATCCTTTACGCAATCAGAACCCAGTTTCTCCAGTTTCTTCAGCTTTCCCTTATGGACTGAAGACCCGGGCTCCCCCAGACCTCCTGGGGCAGCCTGGGATTGCTAAAACACCCAGCCTCCTGCACTGAATAGCTACTGGGTTCTCAGCTTCTCCTGAGGGATACAGACCTTATTGTGAAAGCCAGTCTAATAAAGCCTCTGTTAAATATCTATTCACTCTGTGGGTTTTGTTCCCCTAGAGAACCCTAACTGATACAGTAAGGGTGCAAGTGGAGCTCAGAGGTCGGCGTGGGCTGTCTTCCTCAGAGCGGAGCTCTCCCTGTGCCCTTTTACATTGCCTCTGGGGTCAGACTCAGGCGAGCTTGCCAGGCAAGCCCCTTTCCCAGCTCAGCCAACCCGCAGGCCCCACCTTAGTTTTCTGAGGTAGGGCCTCTTGCTGAATCTAGAGCTCACCAGTTGGCTACACTGACCCACCAGCAAGACCCAGAGGGCTTTCTGTCTCGACCTCCCCAACTTTTAAGACTGTGGGAGCTGAGGACCCAAACTCATGGCAGTCACTTTACTGACTGAGCCGTTTTCCCAGTCCCACTTTGTAACATCTTTAGAGGAATCAAATAAAAGCAATACCGTCTTACCTTTTAAAACAAGGAGTTTCGAGATGAAGGAAGGGTCTAGAGTTCCTTAAGCGGCCATTCATTACTGCACAAGTACTGATAGCACCATGGTAGGTGATGAACGATGAATAGTATCATACATGGAGTTCTGTTTCAGTTTTCAAATTTAAAACTTTTATGTGTATGGGTGGTTTTCCTGAATATACGTATTTGCACTGAGGAGGTAAAAAAAAAAAAAGGGGGGGGGGGTCATATTCCCTGGGACTGGAGTCACAGGCAGTTGTGATTTGCCATGTGGGTGCTGGCAATCAAATCCCACAAACAGCCAGCATTCCCCAGTTACTGTGTGTTTACCTTTTTTTTTTTCCTTTAGTGCTAGGAATCAAATTTTATATATATATATATATATATATATATATATATATATA